CGGAGCGCCGGGCCCCGGAGAGCCGGGCCCCGGAGCTGCCGGCATGACGGGCCGCGTGTGCCGCGCCTGCGGCGGCACCGACATCGAGTTCGATGCCGCGCGCGGGGACGCCGTGTGCACCGGCTGCGGCTCGGTGCTGGAGGACAACATCATCGTGTCTGAGGTGCAGTTCGTGGAGAACAGCGGCGGCGGCTCCTCGGCGGTCGGCCAGTTCGTGTCTCTGGACGGTACGTCCCGGGCCGGCGGGGGGCGCGGTGGCGGGAGGCCGGCGGGGGCGGTAGGCCGGCGGGGGCGGTACCCAGAGCCGGTACCCGGAGCGGCGCGGAAGCTGAGCGGCCGGGGGTGCGCGCTGCGGGGCGGGACGGCGCCCGGCGGCGGGCGAGGGGTGTCGGAGCGCCGGGCCGGCCTCTGGGCTGGGACTTTTAGGGGTGCGGGAGCGGGAGGACGCGGCTCTCGGGCACAGTGGGAGAGCGCCCGGCCGGGAATCAGGTAGTCGGTGGTTCGAACCCACCTGCTGCTCCGCGTCCTAGCGTTTCTTCTTTGAAACCCTGTGGGGGTCTTTGTGGTCCTTGTCCCAGAGGCTGACTAGGAGTCAGCAGGGACTCGAGGCAGGGAGTTTGGGGGAGTGAGGGCACCGCCGCCTTTGGTGATGAATCTAACAGGACTGTAGAACCTTGTAAACGGTATGCTTGTGCAACTTTGATTTTAAAAAGTTAATTTATTCCCTTCTCAGTCCCCACTGTCCCATTTTATAAAAGCTGTGTTATGCAGTATTTGTCCTTTTCTGGCTGAGATATTTCACTCAGAGTCCTCCAGGATCACTCATGTTGTGTAATGTTCTACGAGTCCGTTGTTTTTCAGTGCTGCATAGTATTCCAGTGTGCGACTGTATCATCGTTTTTCTATCCATTTATTTATTGATGGACACTTGGGTTGCTTCCATCTCTTTGCTATTGTGAATAACGCAGCAATAAACATGCGTGTGCACACATCTGTTTGGATGTCAGAAAAGAGTGGGTAGGTAATGAACACTGTGCTGGAACAGATGAAGGAAAGAACAGTTTAAAAGGAATGTGTCAGGCATTCTGTGTAAGACAGCAGTCCAGGATAAGGTACACTGCAAAGAGGACTGGGGAAGGAGAGGGAGGAAATGAATGAATGAAAATCCAACTTTTCTGTAAGTTTTTGTTAAAATCGCAATTAAAAGAAAAAATATTCTTAAAAAATGAAAAAAGCTGTTGTAAAAGAAAAAGTGAATTTATAAGATGAGAAATGTGTGATTTGACACATATTGGTTATGGACCCCACTTTTTTTTTTTTAGTTGATAAGCAGTTGTTGTTAGGTGCGGCTGAGTCAAGTACAACTCATAGCGACTCTATGAACAAAAGATCTGAACCCTGTTCTGTCCTGCGCCATCCTCATGCTCTCCGACACACAGTAGTCCATTACAGCAGTCACTGTTGTCAGTCCACCAGGTTGAGGGTCTTCCTCTCCTTTGCCGACCCTCCACCCTTCCCAACATCATGTCCCTCTCCAAGGAATAGCCCCTCCGAGCGGCGTGCCCAAATTGTGCGATAATGGAGTAAGACTGACTTTATTTTGATATTGTTATAAATTATAACACATTTAAATTCTGGTGACCACCCCAGTAAAGAAGTCACTGCTCCCATTGTGGATAGACAGTTTCATTTCTAGAGCTGTAGTGGCCCATCAGTAAGGAATTCTGCTTCCAGCCCAGAGGCAGGTAGTTCAAATCTGCCAGCTGCTCCTGTGTCTCTGAACCCCGCTGGGAGGGTCAGCTCTGAGTCGATTCTGACTGACAATACAGAGAGAGTTCTTTGAGTGTAATTATTGTTACTCCCTTCCCCAAACAACCGCTGACCTGTTTTCCGTTCCATGTTGTTGTTATGTGCCCTTGATTCGCCTGCAAGTCACAGCGACCCTGTCTACAACAGCTCTGAAGCCAGCCCTGTCCAGAGCCAGTCTCACTGACTCCCGACACACCTACCTGTTACCCCAGTTAGTGTGACAGTCCATCTCCTCTGGGTCTTCCTCTCCTGCGCTGTCACTCCACCTTTCTAAGCATGATGTCCTTCTGCAAGGACTGGTTCCTCCTGGCCACATGCCTGCAATATGTGAGATGGCACTTCACAGTCCTTGCCTCCAAGAAGCAATTTAGTTTTACTCTCTCCAGGACAGACCTGTTTATTCCTTTGGCAGTCCATAGTATGTTTAATACTCTTGTCCAGCACCACAACTCAAAGGCATTGATTCTTCTGTCATCCCTAGTAACTGTCCAGCTCTCTGATACATAGCAAGTAATTGAGAAGACCATGGCCTGCATCAGACATATCTTAGTTTCTAGACTGATATCATTGCTCTTTAGCATTCTGGAAAGTTTCCTGACAGCACATTTTCCCATTGCTGTTCATCTTTTGATTTCCTGACTGCTAGAGTCAAGAGTATTGATCTGTGCAAGAGGAAATTGTTAACAATCTCTTCTCCATTTGTCACAGTGCTGTCCAGTCATGAGTCTCTCTGTTTTCTTGATGTTGTTGAACGTGTTAGTCCATGACCTTCAAACACTTCAGGTCTTACTCGTTTCAGCAAGCAAGGTTATCTGCATATTGCGGGTTGTTAATGAATCTTCCTCTAATCCTGATGTCCAGCCTCCAGAATGATCACGCATAGATTGAAAAAATGTGGAGAAAGGACACATCCCTGATGTACTTCTTTCCTGATTTTGACCCATGCAGTGTTTCTTTCCTCTGTTCTGATGATTGCTTCCTGCTCTAAGTATAGGTTTCACATGAGCACAATCAAGTGTTCTAGGATTCCCATTCTTCTCAATGTTAGCCATAATTTATTATGAGCCACACAATTGAATGCCTTTGTTCAACAAAATACAAATGTCTTTCTGATATTCTTGCTTTCATCCAAGATCCATCTGACACTGGTATTGATGTCCCTAGTGCCATGTCCTCTTGTAAACCTAGCCTGTATTTCCCATGGGATTGTCTTTAGGAATGTCAGATTGGTGAGATTGGGCAGTGTGCGCCTCTTTCTGTAACCCTAATGCCTTTGTAAGGAGCTCTGGTAACTTAATGCTAACCCAGAGATAAGTGATTCAAATCTACTAGCTTCTCTGTGAGAGAGAGGGGCATCTCCTGTGTGATTTACTGCCTCTGAAAACACACTGGTGGGTCAGCTAGAAGATGGTTCTGACTCAACAGTATACAACAGTAACAATGTCTTTGAAGGAGGCCTAGTCCTTGGGTGATTTATTAGGGAGTTGCAGTGCTGCCCAGTGACCCTCTCCCCTCTGATGTGTGAATCCACCATTGGCTCACGGGAGAAAAGATGGACATTCCCCTCCTATGCAGGTTACAGCCTGAAAACCTGCTAGCAGGTCCTCTGTAAATCTTTTCTGACTTGAAGCTGTGAGTTTAATGCACTGGATAGTCAGTCACCCAGTTGTCTATCAGCAGTTGAGCCTTTTATTTATGAGCAGTAACCTGTGCTGTCAGAGCTGTGCATGGTGCTTAACCTGAGCTTGTAAGCTAAGGGTTAGAGGTTCTAGTCTGCACAGAGTGCCTTGAAGGGAAGGCCCAACAGCCTGTCTTTGAAGGCCCCACTGTTGAGAGGCATGCAGGACACAACTCTGTGCGGATGCGCCCTGTTCCCCCCTCAATGTTCTGGTCTCACAGTGACTCTGCGCCATGGTGTGGCAGACCACCGCTTGCTGGAGAATTGCTGGGTTTGCCATGTGCGCATGACATAGTTTTCCTTGCTGAGGACTTGAAGAACTCACTGACGATCAGGTGCTGTAACTTCGTGTGTGTTACACCTCAGCATAAAGAAAAGAAAGCTCCTCAGACTGACCAGTGAGCACCATCCTGTTAAGAGGAGGAGAGGAGATTGTCGGCGTCAAGGATTTTATTTTGTTCTTGGGTGCTGTCGGCACAACTCACAGCACATGTGCGTCCAGCATCCTCCAGGCTCCTTCCTCTGGCTCTGAGCCCATTGCTGCAGTTCCTGTGCTGGCTCATTGCATTGAGGGTCTTCCTCTCCCGCGCTGACCCTCCATGTTTACAAGCATGATTTCATTTCACTTGAGTCCACATCAACATGCAGAAACGCATCCGCCAGGAAATCAAGTGATTTGCTGCATTGGGCAAATTGGCTGTGAAAGACCTCTTTAAAATTATTAGAAGGCAAAGATACCACTTTTAGGACTAAGGTGCACCTTGCTCAAGTTGTGCTATTTTGAGTCACCTTCTATGCGTGTGAAAGCTGAGCAGTGAATAGGAAGACCAAAGAAGAAACGATGCCTTTGAATTGTGGTGCTGTTGAGGAATAGTAACCATCCCCAGACTACCAGAAGGATGAACAAATCGGTCTTGAAGGAAGTACAGCCAAAGTCCTTCCTGGAGGTGGAGAAGGTGAGACTTCTTCTTATGTGCTTTGGAGCAGGAGGACTAATTCCTGGAAGGACGTCATGCTTGGTAAAGTGGAAGGTCAGTGGAAAAGAGGAGGCTCTGCACAGGGTGGAAACAGCTGTGATGTGAACATGTGCAGGGGCAGGCCCCACTCTTCTCTTGTACATGGAGTGGCGCCTGATCATAGCAATGACAGTAATGTATCTAGGGGACGGCTTGGAACATAAACTTGTGTGCTAATGAAAGGCTGGTGGCTTGGACCCTCGTCTGCTTTATGAGCGCCAAGGCCTGGTGATATTTAATGAATGTAGTCAAGAAAACACTGTGGGGAAGTCTGCTGGCTCACCCCCGAGTGGCATGGGTCAGGCCAGCGTGACGCAGCGAACATGAACAGCAGCAGGTACGTGGTGGTAGTTCGTCATGATTCTGGTTTGTGTTTCCCTAGGGCTAGAGATGTTGAACAGAGCTTCTTGTGTTTGTTCATCCTTAATTCCTTTGAGAAGGCTGTGCTGGCTCCTAGAAAACTCACTTGCCACCTGGGAGATCAGCCAAGGCAGCTTATGCACAGCCATCTGTGTCAGTAGAGGTTTGCATGTCATTAGGTTTCTAGACTAAGATGGACTGGGAGGAAAGACACAGCCCTCTCCTTGCAAAGAGCATCCAGGAAAGCTGCATCATCTGAGCCATCCCCGATCAGGGCTGGCAGAGGAATGGGCGGCCTTTTGCTTGTTGATGCCACCTAACCACCAGCACCAACTCCTCTTTTGGTGAAATGTCTGTTTAAGTC